CTTTATTGGTCTAGTAATAAAAAATTCATTTTTATTTACTTTTATTATACTTTTATTATTAATTTTGTACTGTGTGGTCATACTTGCTTAAACAAGTAAACAACTATAGTGTACGTTATTGTATTTGTAAAATAAATTATTTCAGCTTCAATTCAGCTAGTGCATAATATCGTGAAATACATTTTCCAACATGTTTTTATATAATCAAATTTTTTTGGAAACATCCAATTAGTTGTAGGGGGAGTTTCTCGACCCTGTGTTGAGTCGTGGGCTAAGTCTGAGTAGTTGTCCTTTGTTTGTTTACTAGATGGTGGCTCGAGTGGTGAAGGGTCTGAGTGTTGTCCGGTTAGTGGGGAGGCTTTAGTTTAGTCTAGTATTAGTTTTTTTTATTTTTCTATGTGTTCTTGTGTTTTTGTTTTATCCACTTGTTGAGAGCTTTTCTATTTTTCACTCGTTGAGGCTTTTGTATTTTCCCATTGGAGTTTTGTATTATTTGATTGAGAGTTTGTTGCTTCTAGAGTACCCTAGTTAGCGGCTTTTGGGATAGTTCTTCCAACTGGATTCACCGGAATAGTTGATTAATTCGATGATTTAGATGTTGTGTATTTTGTGTTTTTTATTAGGTTATGTTTGGTAGGAAAATAAGTTAGTTTACACCTTATTTGATTAGCTTATAATAAGTTCATTATATTTAAATAAACCTCGTTTGGTAGGACGAGTTTCTTTAAAAAGCTCGAACTTATTTGATAAGATTCTTTAGGTGATTTTTTAAATAAACTAGTTGAATTTTTTATTCCATCTAGTTTATCAGCTAATTTTACCAAACACTTTTATCATATGAGCTAGCTTTTCAGCTATAAGTCATAAACTATAAGCTCAAAAATTACTAATAATCATAAACTAGCTTATCAGCTATCAGCTAGCTTATCAGCTAGGTTTACCAAACATATTATATCCTAAAAAGAAAATAACCAAAATTGTTGGGGGATATTTAAATATTTTCTTTTCTAGAAACATTGAATATATTTTCCTCATTTTTCGGTTATTAATTACTATTTTCTTCTGCCAGGAAATTTTTGAGAAACCCACACCAAAACCATCCTCAACCTTTGACTGGTTACCTCACGGCGGCGTCCGCCTGAATCCATTTTTACGCAGGCAGAGAATGGTGGTTCGTCTGCGGCTGTCGAGATTGGGATGCAAGAACAAGCCTTTCTACCGTGTTATGGCGGCGGATAGCAGGTCACCGAGGGACGGCAAGCATTTGGAAGTCTTGGGCTACTACAACCCTCTCCCTGGTAAACCCTAAATTGCGACTCCCACCCCATAATCTCTATCATTCGTCTGGTAATTAACCTGGAATTCATCTATACTCGAATTTGGA